GCCAGTGCCGGCGTTCCTCGGCGGCGCTGCCGTCTCTCCCCACAGCCGGGGCTCCTGGAGCCCACGTCGTGTCTGATCCGAGTGTCCAAGAGCGCACCCACCCTGGGGATCGCCATCGAGGGTGGAGCCAACACGCGGCAGCCACTGCCCCGCATCGTCACCATCCAGGTAGGGCGGGCTGAGAACGGGAAGAACTCAGTGCACATCCCAAACTTTTCCCTGGACGTCAGGAAAGCCCCTCAGCTGCAGACAGAGTGTGGTGGCAGCCCTGCCCCAGGGGGGATTTTGGAGATGGGCTTTCCCCCTCCATAGCCCTGCATCTCCATGGACATCAGAGGCATCATTCTGCTGTGGGCCGGGGTGGCTGAGGATTATAGTTCGTGTCCCATGGATGATCCCAGACCATAAAGCATGTCCTGGGAGCCAAGGATTTGCTGCAGACATTTTGGAGGGGGTCTGGGCAGCCCTGCAAGCCTGGCTGGTGTCTCCAAATGTCTGGAAAGTCCCTTTTTCTGCTCAGATAGAGGATTGGGGAAGGGGAATGGTGGATGATAGCTGGGGAATTGAGCCCTCAGGAGCTATCTGCCTGCACCCTTTCCTCTGCTGTTTACTTGGGGCAAAATTCAAATAATTTACAGCAAAAGAAAGGCAGAGCTGACTGCACCTCAGTTATTCTTGGCCATCCCTGCTGGCACTACACCATCAGCTGAGAGCAGGCAGGAGGGAAGCCAAATTCACCTCTTTCCAAAATGTGAAATATTTCCCGTTTTCCCAAAACCGCCTGTATTTCGGTCCTGGGTTGAGGGGGTGGGAACAGGAGCTGACCACCTCTCTCCCACAGCGCGGAGGCTCGGCACACAACTGCGGGAAGCTGAAGGTGGGCCACGTCATTTTGGAAGTGAACGGCACGGGGCTACGAGGCAAAGAGCATCGGGAAGCCGCCCGTATCATCGCTGAAGCCTTTAAGTTGAAGGAGAAGGACTACATTGATTTCTTGGTCACAGAATTCAACGTCGCCCTTTAGGAACCTGAATGGGTTTTGGGTGGGATGGGGAGCACCCGAACGGGGATGAAAGGCAGCACCGAGGTGTGAAAGCAGCATCCCATCTCACACAGCCCTCGCCCGCTGCACCACCCGCACATGCAGACACCCCCATCTTGTCCCCAAATGTCCCCTTGCCCCCCGCAGAACCCCACTGCCTGGGTAGGGCAGGCTGAGAACGGGCAGAAATCAATGCACATCCCTAAAAATCTCCATCCCTGACCTCTCTGGGGTGGGGGAGGCTGCCCTTTGGGGACACCCTCGGCCAGCTTGGGGAGCGAGGTGGGAGGACAGTGGAGGTCTGGGTGTCCCCACTGTCATTTGAGTGCCACACGCAGAGTAAGGTGAGGCTGGGGGATTTTTCGGCAGGTCGCTGCTCTCTTGGGTGCTCGCCCTGGTACCCAGGTGGGTGGCGTGGGATGCAGGTGGGGATGCTGAGAGAGCAACTGGAGGCCTTGTAAATTGCTGGCAATGTCGTCGTATTTATATATACAGAGCTTGTGCTTTTAATTTTTCAATAAATCTATCAGGTTAGAAAAAGGCTGGGTTTGGGGGGGCGTCTTTGGGTCTGGGACATGGGGGATAGGGAGGTGAGGGGCAGGGGTGCCTGCGGGGTGCTCCAGCACTGGGGGGATGGGTGGGGGTGTTGTGGCGATGGGCATCATGGCTGGGCAAAACTGCCCCTGCCCCATCCCCTACCAGGGCCATCCCCAGGAATGGGATGGGAATGGGGATTGAGATGGGGGTGGGCATGGA